ACCTGATACTAAGGAAAACTCTTCAATACAGGTAACGTCTTTAGTACGGAGGACCAAATCTGCCATTAATTTATGCATTTCTTCCTCCGATATGATAATGAGCATTGTAGCTCATATTGCAGGACTTTGACTGTGGGAAATCACCTCCCCAGTCAGTCTATGGGCGTATTGGACATTCACATTGCAATGAAGGGTTTACACAAATATTGGCATTGTAGCGCTGATTGCAGGACTTTGACACCATTGTGAAATTAGCCACATTAGCTCACCATTAAACCTACTATGTGTATTGAACATTCATATTGTACTGTACAGCCTTACCTATGGATCTTGGGTCCATGAAATGGGGTATCAGCCTACTCAGTGACACCCAGAGAACATAACTGTGCAGAGTTTACACATATTAGCATCATAGCTCTTATTGCAGGGTTTTGACTGTGGGAAATCACCTTCCCAGTCAGTCTATTGTGCATATTGAAGATGAATATTGCAATGTACAGCCTTACCTATGAATTATGTGCTAAAATACCTTAAATTACCCCTTCTTGATATGAAGAGCCATAATTTGAGTAACCAATTAAAATAAAATGGACTAATTGGGCAGCCCAATATCAAATCTTTGGGATGTCCCGTGAGATAATTTCACAGAGCTAGTACAACCACTGTATAAAGTTTGGACTGCTTTAAAAAAAAGTCACCAAACCCCCCAGAAAAATTTGGTTTGAACATAAACTCACGTTCTATGGTGTCAAAAGCTTTATAAAAATCCATAAACATAAGAAAACTATCATCAAGGATGTGGTCATTATAATCAATCATATCTAAGATCAACCTGATGTTCTTACTAATGTGTATCTGACGAATTCGGAAGTGGTGAAAATCCTGTGAAAGGTTTTTTAGAACTAACCCAAGATAGACCACAACCTATCGTTTCCAATGGGAGCAAATTAATTATAGTGGGCAGAACAACCAAGTACGTGAGCAGAGACAAACCCGAGATATCGAGATCATATAGCCCGGCACAGTGGACGCGTCATAATACCCATAAAACCTAGCGGTAAAACCCGGTAATGGTTCCAGTCGTTTTTTCACGATTAATTTTTGCATCTGGGATTTTATAACTACTGTTTCGTTTAGGCTTAACTTTTTGATAACCGTGTAATTCTCTCTTGGACAAGGTGAGTTTTATCAATATATTCACCTCAATTTACTATCAAATTCGAAATGCTCATTAGCAACAGAGAAGATCTCAGCAAGACTATAAATTCCTACAGGAACTCCTGCGTGTCATCTCGAGCCAACACTGTCAGACTTCCGCTGTCCAATCCATAAACTTCTTACATCCCCTTTCTGTCTTAGTTTAGCCACTGACTACACTTTAGCTGACTAGTTAGTAGAGTAGTTTATACAAAAAAAAAAGAAAAGTCTCATGTAGCCTAGATAATCGTTTTTACAGCATGTCGACTTTGGTTTCCATTTCAGACCTTTTGGCATTTTTCAAGGATGAGCATTAAAAAGGGAGAAGACCACTATAAGTCTGGCCATGTGGAGAACTGCAGCTATAGTGAAGGGCAATTTACCGGTTTGGTCAGGGATAAAGTTTATCCTGTGTCGGTGAGGGTAGCTATTAAGTTTGAGCATCATAGCAATACAATTTGTTCTATACAGCTGTCAACATTCTACAAGGAAAGAGCCACTTAATTCAATTATATAATCAATAATCAGATGACCCCGGATACCAGACTTCGATGAGTGATAAATCTAGAATGTTGTCATTGATGACAATTAATCTAAAACTATTGACATTCAGAATTGACTTTGTTTGTTCAGCCTGTATTGTATTTATTTATTCGGAGTGGTACATGCATTCACACAGTCTTGATTTACAAGATCCTTCCCACTATATGATTTCTATGTCAAGTGATAAAAACCCAACTTATCAATTAAACGTTTATGGAAAAACTGCACTTGGCTTTATGTGAAAATTACAGTTGATTAAATATTCTACAGCTGTAATGTCATCAATCAAATCAAACTATTTTTATATCACATTTCTTAAAATGAATGCATTTCAAGGTGTTGTCTGTAAAGTGGGTCACAGATAATGAAGAGGAGGACATCAAGGCATTCAAAATGGCTGCAGGGATGGATGTGCAGGAGTCAGGGCTTTGGGTCACAGGGTCTGGGATCCTGGGTCACCAGATGGTCTGGTGGGCACCACAGCAGTGGTGGAGGTCAACTGTCTGTATGGTGCAAGGGACCTTACCATTTGAAGAGGCAGTGAAGTCAAAGGATTTCTATATCCAGGAGGGTCTTACAGCCTCCGTGAAGACCATCCTTACTGGTACCAGGTCCAAGGACAGCGCCACATCACCGGAAGGGACACTTGCTTCTTCGTTGTGTGGACCACCAAAGCCTCCATTACCATCCCCATCCAGCGTGACGACCTCTGGCAGACTCATATTGCTGGACTAGAGGAGTTTTTCCAAGGACCACATGCTCCCAAAGTTGGCACTGCAACAGTGAACATCTGTAAATATCTTGTAAATTGTTTTTACACATCAGTTTTTTTCTTACCTTGAGGTTTTATTCCAATACGTTTTTTGGGGGGCACTGGATCAGCGTTCTCGTCGCACCTCCTTGTGAAAATCTTCTCAAACCCCGACATCTGGACAATGGCTTTGTCCGATACAGATCACTGCAGTATGTTATCACCGCATTAGGTGCAACTCCCAGGAGTAGCTTGAAGGAGAGCATTGAACGGTACACAGAGTAGGTTTGCTTCTGCAGATCCATCTGACTTGGAGTAGCAACTTCCATGTCAGTACAGTCAATGACCATCCTGCAGTTTCCGCTGGACCCCTGAAAAGACGCAGGCAAGCACGTTTGGTTCTTCTCCCGACTTGGAACAGTCTTCATGATGCTAATGAAAAAAAGCTTGTGGATCACATGAATGAAAGTGATGGTAACATTGCTGACAGTGCTTGCACTTCAACAGAATAGTTGAGCCACCTACTAGACTGGAGTACAACTCCCTTATATTTTGCTTGAAAAATAAAATAAAGAAATATCCTACCATTTAACACTACACTCACAAATTCAAAAATATTATTAATAATTAATACCACCCTACACTATTTAAATATTAATTCCTACCTCATGCCCTCAACCTGAAATTATGTAATCCAGCTTCCTCTTCCGTCTCTGGAGTTTGCCAGTCCTCAGACCCTTCTATCCGCACGTTACTACGAGGGCTTTGCTCCGTGCGGAAATACCAACCGGATGCTTCAGATGTATACATCCGGTGAAACATCTGACATTGTTCTATGTTACGTGTATCCTATCTATTTCGCTTCCGCGAGTCCCGTTCGTTGTTTTGATCAGCTGACTGCAGCGTTCTCACATGATTCCATCCGTATACGGTTGATGGAATTCTCACTGACGGCGACTTGACTGTCTTCTATGGGGCAAGTATTCGATTTGTTCAAAAGAAAGATGAGCTATCTTATTCGTTTACAGCTGAGATCAGACCAGCGTTTTCATGTAAGACATTGAGTACGTTTACATGTACATTAATAATTCGATAATAAACTGCTTATGGCAGTAGGCCGACTATGGAAATAGTCATGTAAACACCTTAGTCTGCTTATCTTAATCGGTGTAAGGTAAAAATTGAAATAAGCGTACACCGATTAAAACACCTGGTTTTCTGAGCAATCTTTCGAATTATTGCGACATTTAAACAGCTTAATCGGCGTTCTATGGTGTATTTGATCTGCGCATGTACTATCACCAGCAGCGCAAGCCTCCCTCTTTTGCGCTAGTGAAGTGAGTTCGGAAAAACTGAAAGTATGCATCATATAAATATACTTCACAAAAATATTAACCCAACATGCAACAATTTCAAGATTTTACTGCGTCACAGTACATATAGGGAAATCAGTCAATTGAAATAAATTCATTACCCTAATCTATGGATTTCACTTTACTGGGCAGGGGCGCAGCCATGGGTGGACCTGGGAGGGCATAGGCCCACCCACTGGGGAGCCAGGCCCAGCCAATCAGAATGAGTTTTTCCCCACAAAAGGACTTTTAAGATCAATAAGCTTTTTGTGCGTATGGAAGATTTCTGGGATCTTTTACTTCAGCTCATGGAAAATGGGACCAACACTTTACATGTTGCATTTTATATTTTTGTTCAGTATAGTTTTACACTTAAGACATGACTCTGCCGTTGTGCTGTGGAATTTGTGAATTTTGTCTCTTGTATAATAAATTATATATATTAGTTTATACTGGATTAAGCATACATTTTCGTTAACTGTAATTTAGTTAGTTATGCTCCATCTTTCCCTCCATCTTGTGCCAACATCAGTTCTTTTTAAGTCTTGGTTTCAAAAGTTTAAAAAAATTCTAAGAGATTGTCAGTTGGATATACTCACTGCAAGGTTTTGTATATCTTCCCTGTCATATGAACATCATTTTCTGACTCAAATAAGATTCCCTCAAGGTTGCTCTGATGTCTAAAATATTTCAAATCAAAATGTTGTGATATGTATCTTTTAAGTTGCATGTATTTGAAACTATGCTCTCTGCAAGGTAAGTCCAAAAGTACTTTTTTAATTCTGTCATGGAAATACATGTATTTCTTGTTACCATGTCATTTACGGTGTCTTTGCTTTCCTACACACTGTTGTTATTCATTAATAGACTAACAACACTGTATTCAAATGGTCTTAGTGTTAGATTCTTATCAGATCTGTTCTTGAGTGAAATAAAATGCAATGACAACATGGGGGTCAAAGTCAAATGTTGCAACTTCAGCATTGTACAATATTGTTATAGGAAGGTTCTTACATTGGTGTGTCTGTTTATGGCGGTGGGTTGGTATACTGATGATCCCAGATGTGATATGTAACCTGAAGAACAAAGACGGAACAGTTGTCTATTCAAGGTTTTACAGGTTGGTACTGTAATAGTGTAACTCTTAAAAGGCTTTCTTTGATAACTTGTCTGTACTGTTCTTTATAGAGTGAGTCTACCTGAAGTGACTACACTTCAGGAGAGGTGACGTAGTGTCATAGAGGTGACATAGCGTCTTGTGGAAGATGCCTTCCAATAAGTCTGTGTCGACGGCGCCGATCACCCAGTTCGTCAACTGCAGGATACTAAGAGATCACAAGCTGCAGAGGTACGCACACGCACACACACATACACACACGAGCATGTGGATATGAACATACAAACACGCTCCGTTACACATGTAAAACAAATACCGTAACACGTAAAACAAGCGTTGTTACGATGTGTGTGTTACTGTGTGTGTAACAGGGTGTGTGTTGTTCCTGTCTTTCCTCCAGAGAGGATCTGTGGGTGCGGGAAGGGAGGATCCTAGACCCAGAGAAGTTGTTCTTTGATGAGGAAGGCTACGCAGATCAACGTGTAGACTGTGAAGGCCTCATCATCGCTCCTGGGTTCATTGACGTTCAGATCAATGGTTAGTCTTTTTGGGGGAGGAGTGTCAATTCACTCCTGGGACTATGTCCCCAATTCAATTGCAGGTATGGACTTCTTTAAGCTTTATTGGAGGAGTGTTCCTTGATAAAACCAACACAGGCTGCAAGTTGTTTCTCTCATCAGAACAAGGAAGCCATTGGATACAGGATTTTACAACCTCAACCAATGATCCATTGTTTTACACCCACAGGAGGATATGGCATCGACTTCTCGCAAGCAACCAGTAATGTCAGAGGAGGTGTGGCCCTAGTAGCCAAGAAAATCTTGGAGCATGGTGTCACCTCCTTTTTACCCACCCTAGTCACCTCCCCTCCAAACATCTACCACAAGGTAGGCACCACCTCTACACCTGTCCTCTCTCAACAACATGTCCCGTTTCTCACCATTGTCTCACATACACTTTATGACCAAAAGTATGTGGACACCTGCTCGTCGAACATCTCATTCCAAAATCATGGGCATTAATATGGAGTTGGTTCCCCCTTTGCTGCTATAACAGCCTCCACTCTTCTGGGAAGGCTTTCCACTAGATGTTGGAACATTGCTGCGGGGACTTGCTTCCATTCAGCCACAAGAACATTAGTGAGGTCGGGCACTGATGTTGGGCGATTAGGCCTGGCTCACAGTTGGCGTTCCAATTCATCCCAAAGGTGTTGTCATGCTGAAACAGGAAAGAGCCTTCCCCAAACTGTTGCCACAAAGTTGGAAGCACAGAATCATCTAGAATGTAATTGTATGCTGTAGTGTTAAGATTTCCCTTCACTGGAATTAAGGGGCCTAGCCCAAAACATGAACAACAGCCCCAGTCTATTATTCCTCCTCCACCAAACTTTACAGTTGGCACTATGCATTGAGGCAGGTAGCGTTCTCCTGGCATCCGCCAAACCCAGATTCGTCCGTCGGACTGCCAGATGGTGAAGTGTGATTTATCACTTCAGAGAACGTGTTTCCACTGCTCCAGAGTCCAATGGCGGCGAGCTTTACACCACTCCAGCCGACGCTTGGCATTGCGCTGCTCAGCCATGGAAACCCATTTCATAAAGCTCCCGACGAACAGTTCTTGTGCTGACGTTGCTTCCAGAGGCAGTTTGGAACTCGGTAGTGAGCGTTGCAACCGAGGACAGACGATTTTTACGCGCTGCGCGTTTCAGCACTCGGCGGTCCCATTCTGTGAGCTTGTGTGGCCTACAACCTCGCGGCCGATCCGTTGTTGCTCCTAGACGTTTCCACTTCACAATAACAGCATTTACAGTTGACCGGGGCAGCTCTAGCAGGGCAAATATTTGACGAACTGACTTCTTGAAAAGGTGGCATCCTCTGACGGTGCCACGTCGAAAGTCACTGAGCTCTTTAGTAAGGCCACTCTACTGCCAATGTTTGTCTATGGCGATTGTATGGCTGTGTGCTTGATTTTATACGCCTGTCAGCAACAGGTGTGGCTGAAATAGCGTAATCCACTAATTTGAAGGGGTGTCCACATACTTTTGTATATATAGTGTATGTCATTAGTGTCGCCCATTCAAATGTGGGTTCAAATAGTGTTGGTTTTCTTTCAAATACTTCAGCTGTGGTGAATTGAGCTTGTCTGGCGCAATGTGAATTGTTAGATACTACTGCACTGTTGGAGCTAGGAACACAAGCATTTCGCTACACCCGCAATAACATCTGCTAAATATGTGAATGTGACCAATAAAATGTGATTTGGAACCAAATATGTGCCAAATAGTCTCAAATATGCAAACCACACCCACCTGGCCTGGCACTCCAGGCAGGCTCAATCAAATTCTTATGTATTGCTTATGAAGGCAATATGTATGCATGTGTTATGAAGTCCTTAAGCACGTACCGTTCAAGTAAAATATCTGTTTTCTAGGTCTTGACTGAGGTGAAAGTTCACAGTGGAGGAGTGGAGGGAGCTGGAGTTCTGGGTAAGGATGCAGTCAGGAAGGACGTAGACATGTCTGATTGGTCCTTACATCTGGACATGATATCCAATACTATATTCCATATAACTGTATTGTGATAGAGGAAATGTTATACAACATATTTCAGCATATCGCACTGTATTATCTATTTTACTCCATTAAACATTGTCAGTATTTCATATTTCTCCTGCATTTCTTGTCCATTTCGCCGTGTCTCTGTCCCCCTCCCCCCTCTCTCTCTCCCTCTCTCAAGGCTGTCATCTAGAAGGTCCATTCATCAGTTTAGAGAAGAAGGGAGCCCACCCGGAGCAGTACCTGCGCTCCTTCGAGTCGGGCGGCATGTCGGACCTGATTGAGACCTACGGGACCCTGGATAACGTTGCCATGGTGACGTTGGCCCCCGAGCTACCCAACAGTGAGAAGGTGGTCAGAGAGCTGGCCCAGAGGGGCATCACTGTGTCTCTAGGTAGGTGTATTATACTGGGAATAGGATACTCTTTATGTAGGCCTATGACATCTGCTTATGCATGATTTCATTGTGAAGCATCTATGTAGGCCTTATGCATGTTTTATGAATAATATATGTCATATGGTCAGAGAGCTGGCTCAGAGGTGCATCACTGTGTTTCTAGGTAGGTGTAGTATTCTGGGAATGGGAATAAAATATCCTTATGTATGACTTAGTTACTCCTCTTTGTGTGCATGCTGGGTACTGGGAACGACATAGCCTTTATAATGTATGTATTACATCTGCTCCTAAATGTTTTATTAAGCATCTATATAGGCCTTATAAAGGGTTTATGAAGACTTATTTAAAACAACAGAAAACCAGGCTGTTGATGCAATCCCAATAGACATCTCCTGTCTGTAAGCAGGAAGTTGCCACGCTGTGTAGGATGATGTGATATCGCTAAGTGTACCTGTCAACGTATTCCAAGTGTAGGACACTCTGTAGCCAACCTGTCCCAAGCTGAGGAGGCAGTGCAGCACGGAGCTTCATTCATCACACATCTCTTCAATGCCATGCTGCCTGTGAGTAATAGAACATAGCATCATATTGTATTATGTTTTCCGTTTAGCACATTTTTTGTATGTACTGTATATGTTAGTGTAGTAGTATGTGTATGTGAGTGTAGTACAATCCTCTGTTTCTCCCTGATGTTTTACTGGACAACCCTTAAAGGAGAATCTTTCTTTTTTACAACCAAAGACACTTTTTGTGCGATTTCACTTTCAACTTTATCCGCAATGTTATAATCCATTTTGTTGCAACTTGATCGATACCTCTCCGTCCATTCTAGCAGCAGGCTACACTGAGTATGGAACAGCTGGATAGGGGAAACAGCTAGAGACGTACAAAATGGAATATAATGTTGCATATAAAGTTTGGAATGACACAATTTCATGTGTACAACATCTAAAGACCTGCATGACTACACTGAGAGTGCTTCTGTTTCTCAAACCATACAGTATAAATGGGGTCAATGAGTAACCTGTCCACCTCTGGGTGTGGTCAGCCAGATCACAGACATGCTGTCTACACTATGGTGTTGGCCACGTGCTTCAGATGCCTTGCCAAGTCTATTCAACTGCAGTTTCACAATGCTACTGTAATAATGTCATGAAAAGATTATGTCTCTCTCTGTTGCCATGGCGACCGTGGTGGGTTAGTTCCACCATCGAGACCCGGGCATCGTGGGTCTCCTCACCAGCGACCAGGTTCCCCAGGACCGGACGGTCTTCTACGGAATGATTGCTGATGGCATCCACACCAACTCTGCCGCCCTGCGTATCGCCCACAGGGCACACCCTACAGGTCTGCGTAGGAACTACATGCACGGCTTCTGTGTGTGTGTGTGTGTTTGCTCTGAAGTCTCACTGTGTGTGTGTGGGGTTGTGTTGGAGTGTTTATTGGAGTGTTCTGTTGTAATGCTGTGGGTTCCAGTCTTGAAACCAGAAATTGTTCAAATGTCAGGTATAATATGCATACCAGTTGCAAGAAATCTATGGCTCTGGTTGTGTTGGCTCAATATGTGTTTGTCCTGCAGGTCTAGTGTTGGTGACTGATGCTATCACAGCCATGGGTCTACCTCCTGGTCGCCACACCTTGGGTCAGCAAGTCATTGAGATCCAGGGGCTCCATGCTTATGTAGCAGGTCAGAATCTCTTTTGTAAGGTGTGAACATAACTTTTCCCCAAAGCTGTCTCCCGAAAACAACTCTGTCTTTACTCATAGGCACCAATACGCTCTGTGGCAGTATAGCCACAATGGACATGTGTGTCAGGCACTTCAAACAGGCTTCAGGTGAGTGTGTGTTAATTAGCCCTTTTACTGTCTTACAAAAGTCATTCAGTCCTAAATATGTGGTTACTTACTACATGTGTGTGCACATGTGTGTGTGCAGGGCAGGACTACCACCTTTCGGGCCCTGGGTCACCGACCTCCAGGGGGCCCCCACCCCCTTTTAGGAAAAGAGCTAACTTCCTGCATTTCAACATAAAACATTTTTTGTTGCAGTTTTATAATGCTATTGTTCACATTTTGCCATGAGGCTGAGAGACAATTAAGCAGTTTTAAATCAAATGTCCTGCTATTCTAAACATTTTTGCCATGAGGCTGAGAGAGAATTTTGCAGTTTTTAAGCACATTTTCTGCAATTCTACACATTTTGCTATCATATGCTATCTGGGGGGCCCCTGACCTCCAGGCTCCCTGGAGGTCGGGGGCCCCAGAGCACATGCCCTGCATTCCCATTCGGTAATCCGGCCCTGTGTGTGTTTTGTGTTGACAGGCTGCAGTGTGGAGGAAGCTCTGGAGGCAGCGTCGCTCCACCCAGCTCAGCTCCTGGGCATCAGCCATTGTAAAGGCACCCTGGACTATGGGGCAGACGCAGGTGAGAAAGTCAACAGCAGAGGGCGCTCTCGCTCTGTCTACTCCAGGGGTGTCAAACTGGAGGGCTGAATATCTGCGGGTTTTCTCTCCGCCCTTGTACTTAATTGATTGATTAAGGTCATTGATTAGTTAGGATTAGTCTCCTCAACTGGTTGTGTAGGTCAGGGGTTTTCAAACCTCTCCTCGGGGACCCCCAGCTGTTCCATGTATTTTTACTATTCCAAATTGTGAAATGTCTGGGGTTCCCCAAAGAGACGTTTGAAAACAACTGGTCTAGGTCTTGTGTGTGTGGTGTAGGAAGAAGCACTAAATAGTAAAACGTGTCCCCCTCTCTCCTCCGTTAGATCTCGTTCTGCTGGATGATGCTCTCAATGTCAGAGCCACCTACATCGCAGGCCAGGAAGTGTGGAGGAAGTGACATCATAATAATCAGTCCCCTACCGCCGCCCCACCTACGTGGAACAAATGGGGATGTCCCAAATGGCACCCTATTCCCCAAATAGTGCCCTACTTTTGACCAGAACAGAGCATCATAAAGGGAATAGGGTGCCATTTGGGACACGGACAATGCCTGGCTGCATTGTGCTGGACACTCATCTCAGACCCTAGATGGCACCACTCTATAAGAAGAATTTGTGATGTGGCACAGAGAAGTGCACTATGTAGGGAATAGGGTGCTATTTGAGTTACATGCTGGTAAAATGGAGCCACTTGTAAAATGCTACAGTATAGAATGCTATAGTTTTTTGGGGGGGCTACATTTTTTATTGACATTTTGCATTAAGACAATATATACTGCAGTGCAATGATTTAAATAATCTGTTGTTTGATACATGGGAACATAGTACTGGCATAACGCAGTTTCTCTGGACCCCTGTCCATTGCGACATGTCTATGCAGCTGCATGCCTGTCGAATCGATAATAGGCTTTCTGTGGTGCCAGGGCATGTAAAGCTTTGCTTTAGCTAATGGATAAATGTTTATTGGTAGGCCTATTTGGTCGTAATTTTCTCATGTTAAGCCTAACATTTCACAAATCTATACACGGTGTCGCAATGCTGACATTTGTTGACTGCTGGCTGATGGTAATAATGTAATTACTTGTTTAGTAATTAAAGTTGGAAATTCAAACATTGCAGAGTGTAAAATGTGTTTTCGATGCAACAGCATACTAATCAGCTATCAATTGATTTTTTAGAATATATTGTACAGGCTACCTAAACCTGCATGACATGAGATGTTCTCGCTCTCTCCCAGCTTGGATAGAAAGTTGTTGTGCATAAAACCAGTCTATTAAAGGGATAATCCACCCCAATAAATATAATCATAAAACTCCTGTCGGTTTGGTGAAAGCCTATGTTCTATTAGTGGGTAAAATACACATTTTCCCCATGATTGAACTTCTAAGTGGTCGCCCTGTGAAAATCAGGAAATCGTGTAGGAACGTGAAAAAGCTATTTAATTGTAGTCACTAGAGATAGGGTAGCTCAGTTGGTAGAGCATGGCGCTTGCAACGCCAGGGTTGTGGGTTTGATTCCCACGGGGGACCAGTATGAAAAAAATAGATATGTTATGCACTGCACACAATTTAAACGTAATGATGCATACCAAGATATACCAGAGATAAGGGACTGTTGATATTGCAACCACACACCTCAAACGCCGGTTCACTATGAACGAAATCGCAAACCGCGTTTTTTGTTGTTCAAGCCCTCAAGAACTGTTGTCCGCTAAAGATGATAATCTGTTTGCATCTGCTAATTTATTGTCTGTCCAGTATCCAGACGACCTGTCCCCAGAGCTTCCTACACAGTTAATTTATTTCCGTAACGGGTTGAGTCGGCAATTAAGGAGCATGAGAGGCTCAATTAAAGATGTTGCAGAACTGCTGTATTTGAAGCACCACTATGATGTTTCTACAGCAATCAAGCTGTTTTTCCAATCCCTTTAACTGTCGCTTCTGCGGAGGGATCGTTTCCTAAACTAAAATTCATAAATAACTACCTAATAAGCATTAGGCTCTTGATCTGATATGTGCATTTAAACACCTGAGTAAGCTCCACTCATTGCCCTGGCTCCGTCCTAGACCTGACCACGGTATTTGTTCACCGGTATTCCCTTCTACTTTAAATCAGTTGAATTTTGTATTTTTCAGTCACATTCCTGAAGCCCAAGAAACAAACACTTGGCTTCCTAGTACATATGGACATTAAAAAGGTTTATGAATGACTTTTTGGAGGGTTACTGTCAAAATGATTTATTAAATGTACAAATGTAAACATCGATGACAGGCTCGTGGGCCCCCAGAGCTCGTGGGTGTCCGGTAGGCCAGTGGAACATTGTAGATTCAGGATTGCCATGACACTGCAGATGATTTAGACTGATACTTAATTACAATTTCAACATAAGTCGTTAATAGGAGCAGGTTAAAATGGGTTGAAATTCTCCAAATGTGAACGTGGTGTAAGCCTATGTGAGTGCTCAACAATACATGTGCTAGTTTTCACTACACTGTCTTTAGTTCTATCTCTACAAATGAGGTAGGCTATCTGTGACCATTTCATGTTCCCATAACCTTATTCGTAAATGTGATAAGAAATGTATAAATGTCTGTTGTCATTGAAGGTGAAACAGTCTAGAGTATTACAACTTTTATAAAACTGGCTTACAGTTGGAATGTTCAATTAATGTTTTAGATACACTTTATATTACACTTTATATTACTATGAATATTACTAGGCTATTGTTGCATGGCATTGCGCTCCTATAGGCTAGACGTAAGTGAAGCAGATATCTATTTGATCGTCACGGATTGGAGCTCTGAAGTGGCGGGGACGCGGCTCTGCACAACGCTCGCGGTTGGGCACACTCACCGGGACTGTCTGCAAACTCTTCCCAGACACACCCAGAATGAAACACACAACGTGGATTAGTCTATAGATCGATCAATTCTATAATCGGGCAGGCTAGCTAATCCTATGACAGCAGCTGCAAACCCACACTCTAAAAAATGATGGGTTGTTTGGTTGACCCAACTGCTGGGTTGCAGGCGTTGGGTCACTTAGTTGGGTTACTTTCTTTAAAAAGAGCAAGGTTGGGTTGATTATTGGTGCTGGGTTGTTGAGATATAGTATATCCCAGCGGGTTAGATCAGAAGACTAGAGGCTTAGTAAGGGCGTGGTTTTCAGAGTTTCTTTTTAGCCACCCTTGAGAGTAAATGTCATTCCTGTTAATCTGTTCTGTTGTATAGTTTTCACATGTTGAGATCGAACATTGACATATTTGTAGGTTCAATGAGGCTTACAGAGGGGTATGAGTTCCCTAAAAGCCTATGTAAATCCCATTGTTGGGATACAATTAGATTATATTCCTTATTATGGTTAAGGTTGTATACCTAAAATGTAATAAATAATCTTAATATTCTAGAAGAATGTGTGTGTGTTCTGTCCACTATTTAACCCGTGCTGGGTTACCAAATAACCCAAATTGGGTTGTTTTTAGCCCATCATTTTTTACAGTGCAGTTAGACAGACAGACTTGAAGACACCTTGCCAATGCGATAAAAGAGATGACTTTCACTTGTGTGAGATGCTCTGTGTAATGGGACCCTGTCCCCATCTCTACCATATCTCTACCCTATTTATATCACTGATGTGCGTGATAGCCCCCTCAGGGACCCCCTTCCAGCATTGGGGAACCTCCCTCGCCCCCACGTGCCACTTCTATTTCTATGGGCACAAGTACTGTTCATGACACAAACTGTTCACACCCTTCTTGTTGGTGGAGAGAATTTTGCAGGTTTAAAGCTTATTTACGGCAATTCTACACATTTTGTCATGGGGTGCAAATAACCTTTTTGCAGTTTTAAAGCAAATTTTCTTGCAATTCTATACATTTTGCCATATCTAATGTCTATTCTTTTGATATTTGAGTGACAAAAAAATTACAACAAAACCTAAATAAAAAACGTTAGCTGACATGGGCTAGTTGATCTGGACATTTCTGACAAGTTATAAATAGCTCTCTAAGGTATGCAATGACTAACATGACAAGAGGAACTGATGATGCACTACCCAAACAGAAAATGCACCTTGTGCATTCTACTATTACAATTTTCAAGAAAAAGTTTAAAGCCAGACTCCCCCCCCCCCCTGCCGACCTCTCGCGCGCACCACAGTTTGGGAACCACTGGCCTAGGCTACTCTCCATTGAAAACCGACTCAGAGTCGTAGTGTGGTTTTAATAATGACAAGATGGTTCAATGTACATTATCCTTGAGAGGCATGCCTCCCTGCACAGTTTCTCCATAATGACTGCTAATGCGGAAGGAACAGGATTGCCTATACCTGGCAGATCTCCTGCATGCGGCGACCAGCAATTATAGCCGGTAGACTTTCAGCGCAGCAGCCGACAGAGGTCGTTTGGGAACACCGCCGATGAACGCAGGCGAACTACCATCCTGGCTTTATGTTCGCGAGCATGTTTTTCAGCAGGTAAATCGATTTAGGAAAAGTAACAGGATTTCAAAATAGTCTAGTTCTCCTCGTGGAATGGAACTGCAGTAGCAGAGGCACCGACACAGGGCACCGGGACAGGCATTCTGAATGAATGAGGATGTTATGGACGTCGGAGAAGATTTAAAGACATTGTTAGACCTATCGATGAGGCTGTACTGTGGACCAGTGATGCACCATGGGGGTGGTATCCTCTTTGGAATTAACTTTGCTTCTTTCTTTTTTGGGGGGACAGGGTCACCTTTTGATGGGATTTAGAATTTCTCACTAAGCAGTTCCACTGCTGGACTACAAAATGCATATTGTATTGTAGCCTACTGCAGCCTAGTAAGCCTTCCTCGAGCCTTCCTAAACTAATCTGCAGTTGTGGAAGAGAAAGATAGTTGGCTGTCAGTTTATTGGCTTAAAATCTGACAGTAAACCAGCAATTCTAACATTCGTAGGCTATTGTAGATCGACTCAATGCAGGACTATTAAATTCATATTTTACTTTACTCTATTTAGCCTTCCTGAACCAGTCTGCATAGAGTTAGAGTTGGTTTCTTTTTGGGATTTTCCATGCTGTTTAGGGGCCTGTTTTTCTACTGACCCATGAGCTACAGACAGCATGGTCAACTACCCTCAGTGAAAAGGGTAGCCTAAGCCTCTGTGTGCTGGGGACCTGGGCTACCAGCAGTCCACCCAGACCCACACATGACAATGTTGCGTTACATTTATTGTCAACCTTTTTATTTTTGGGGCTGTAAGTCCCAGCACCACAAACGGGAAAAGTATGGTAGTGTGCGTGTTAACTCTCTTTTAACCAGACCCAGAGCCATGGGAAGCTCCACCTCATCTCTCAACGAGGACCCTGAATGTGATCATCAAGGACCTCGTGGGCGTCGGGGCTATGACAGACAGCACTCCTCTGTCATGGGGTGCTTCAGGATCAGCCAGAGCACCCCTGCATGGGGGGCTAACTTCATTCCGGCTCTGCAGCTGCAGCGGCCCACTGCTGGCAACCGTGAGCGCAGGTAAGCTGGTCCTTTATGCTTGTGGTTGGTCTTTGAGAATATGAACCCTTAGTATTAGGTGCCTTTTTGGCTGTGAGCTCACAATTGCTTGTTAGACACTGGACTGTCACTCAAGTACAAACACAGGGTTAAATGCCCCGCGCTCCCGCGCTCCCAAACCCTAAACAAGGCACAACGTTTAAGCATGATTTTACTTCCATTATATAATTAATTCAATATCTGCTGTATCTAATATAATACTATGATGTTATAGACTCACACATTTATCACACAACTGTAATTGTTTTCTTTTCACCAGGTGTCAGGTTGCCTGCCTGTGCCTTCAGGAAATGTAATATGCTATGGGAATCCCTGATGTTGCTACTCTGCTCTGCTCTGCTCTGCTCCTCGGGCCTAAGAGTGCCTAATAGTGATGCAACGGTGGGCTCAAAAACTTGAGTCTCACATTTTGATTCTCTACATAAGAATCAAATGTGTAGATGACATATATTATTATTATTACTACTACTTTTGACGCACAGGGCCGCCCCACTATTGTTATTGATTTTGTTGCTGAGCTGAGGATTGTCGCGCAGCACGTTTAAAAAATATATATATATATATATATATATATATCTCGCGTGCAATGATGTCAAATGGGGAAAACAGTGTTAGTTGTTTGCAGTAACTTACTACTTTGCTTGGCCTCACATTTCTCTAGCAGTATACTGTCATGGTTTGGCACCGAGCCCAATTCTGATTCAATTTCAAAAAAAGTTACAGCAAACAACGAACACTGTTTTTCCCCCTTTGACATCATTGCACGCAAGATATATATATATAAAAAATTACGTGCTGCGCGACGATCCTCAGCTCAGCTCAGCAACAAAAACAATAACAATAGTGGGGCGGCCCTGTGCGTCAAAAGTAGTAGTAATAATAATAATATATGTCATTTAGCAGACGCTTTTGCACTTTATAGGGAATACTCTGGTTAAAAGTAGTACACTATAAAGGGAATAGGATGGGCTGTGGCAGTAACTGTGTGTGTCTGTGTGTATGCGTGTGTTAGAACACGCTTGGCTTGGATACAATTTGTATCATCTGTATTTGTGCTCAGGTCGTGTGTGTGTGTATGTTTTGCTAATATGTGTTGTGTGTCCAGGTACTTTGACTCAGTGGACATCTGTAAGATCCATTCCGACTGGCAGGAGCTGCGTGTGCCGGGCATCTTCCCTCGAGGAGCCAGCTTACCCGTGACTGTGACCTCACTCACCGTGCTGGAGAGAACCACGCTGGAGACCGCCCTTTTCCAGGAGGGGAGCCGGTACGCACAGGAATCCCACTGTTCTACCAGTGTGTGTGTGTGTTTGTGTGTGTCTGTCACACCATTCAGCCAGTTAAACCCGCAGGACCAGATTACAGAATTAAAAGTGTGTGTGTGTGAGTTAGCCAGAGACTCCCTCCTTCTGGACCTACGGAGGAGGAAGGTCCCACTGGCCACTGACACTGAGGACAACTTCCTGGGCTTCAGGAGGTAGGCCAATGGAAAATTGGACACTCGTGCTGTGAGTTTTTGAGTCTGGTCAGACTGACTGGACCTCAACGACCTGTGCGACTGGACTGGAGTGGAGCTCAGATGGACACGGACTGATATGCAAACTGAGCCAGTGACTGCCTCTGATGCAGCCAGTCGCACAGGTCGTTGAGGTCCAGTCAGTCTGACCAGACTCAAAAACTCACAGCACGAGTGTCCAATTTTCCTGCCACCAACAGTACACATCCATAAACATTATTGTGTAAGAGGATGCTGGTTTGATGTTGATGATAATGATGTGTTTTCCTGTGTGCCAAATAAACTAGATGTTGTTTGTATTTGTATTTATTAAGGGATCCCTGCCAAGGCAGCAGCTACTCTTCCTGGGGTCCAGCAACATTAAGGCAGTTATATACAATATTACATGACATTACATTTCATAACGCTTTTCACAACACATTAAGTGTGTGCCCTCAGGCACTACTCTACTACCACATATATACAATATAAAATCCATGTGTACGTGTGTGTAGCGTGCGTGTGTTATCATGTGTATGCGTTGTTGTTGTGGTGGAGGTGCTCATTTTGAAAGTGGGCTGCTCATTTGACGGCTCCAGATTGTGGGCCTAGGGCAAAGCAGTTTGCTAGGTACTGCTCTGTTTCAGCTGTTGTGGGCAGCCTAGCTGTTTGGAGAAGGAGGTGCTTTCTGTACCCTTAAGTGCCATGCATACAGATACCTTTTTTAATGTAAATTTGATTGGTGGATTCAAATAAAGTATTTAAAGTGTGGATGCTATTGTTTGTCTCTGCTCTGTGTGACATCATAACTAGGTCATTAAGCAGGAAGGACTCTCAGGAATCTCACTTGTGTTAATGCTTCTGGCCATGCCACACCCACACATCTAGATGAATGAGGAAATAGGTTGTGCTGCATATAAAAACAAAACAATAAATACTGTTATTTATCGATATATGTTGAAATGCCTGTAAGATTATCCTTGGCCAGAGGTACTCAGGGTACCCAGAGGCACTTCGTACCCTCAGCTTCTCCCAAACTGCCTTGACTTTACCAGAAAGCTGCTAAAGACTGACTTCAGAGCCTGGTTACCCTCCTTCGGAGCTCACGGGTCGCCACACAAGGAACTCAAACAAACTGGCCATCCCAAGATGTCCAACGGAGAGATACAGGAGATCGTTATACCATATTTGAGCAGGCTCCTAAATGAAAAACGATTTTAGCTTAGAAATGTATAGCACTTTAAATTGTTGTATTTATTTAATATTTATGTTTTTTATTGTAACATCAAAGTAACTTAGTGTTTTTAATGACAACTGTTTTTAAGGACCTGTAATAATGCTGAAAGACTAATAAACTAAACTAAAAATATATCAATGTATATTTACAAGAACACTGAACTGTTATGGTCTAATGAACCCTGTTCCTTCACTTTGTGTGAAATACCTAACCTTTTTACATCTGACTACCATTCCCTTTCCCTCCCTTTCCCTCTGTTTCTATCTATAGCATCTATTCTTCAAATCGCCACCCTTTGCCTTATTGACAGCTTTGCACACTCTTGGCATTCTCTCAACCAGCTTCATGAGGTAGTCACCTGGAATGCATTTCAATTAACAGGTGTGCCTTGTTAAAAGTTAATTTGTGGAATTTCTTTCGTTAATGCGTTTGAGACAATCAGTTGTGTTGTGACAAGGTAGGGGGGGTTTACAGAAGATAGCCCTATTTGGTAAAAGACAAAGTCCATATTATGGCAAGAACAGCTCAAATAAGCAAAGAGAAACAACAGTCCATCATTATTTTAAGACATGAATGTCAGTCAATACGGAACATTTCAAGAACTTTGGAAGTTTCTTCAAGTGCAGTCGCAAAAACCATCAAGCGCTATGATGAAACTGGCTCTCATGAGTACCGCCACAGGAATGGAAGACCCAGAGTTACCTCTGCTGCAGAGGATAAGTTCATTAGAGTTACCAGCCTCAGAAATTGCAGGCCAAATAAATGCTTCACAGAGTTCAAGTCACAGACACATCTCAACATCAACTGTTCTGAGGAGACTGTGTGAATCAGGCCTTCATGGTCGAATTGCTGCAAAGAAACCACTGCTAAAGGACACCAATAAGAAGAGACATGCTTGGGCCAAGAAACACGAGGCAATGGACATTACACCGGTGGAAATTTGTCCTTTGGTCTGGAGTCCAAATTGGAGATTTTTGGTTCCAACCGCCGTGTCTTTGTGAGAGACGCAGTGTAGGTGAACGGATGATCTCTGCATGTGTAGTTCCCACCGTCAAATTTGTTTAACACTTTTTTGGTTACTACATGATTCCATATGTGTTATTTCATAGTTTTGATGTCTTCACTATTACTCTACAACGTAGAAAATAGTACAAATAAAGAAAACCCTTGAATGAGTAGGTGTGTCCAAACTTTTGACTGGTCTGTACAGTGAGGGAAAAAAGTATTTGATCCCCTGCTGATTTTGTACGTTTGCCCACTGACAAAGACATGATCAGTCTATAATTTTAATAGTAGGTTTATTTGAACAGTGAGAGACAGAATAACAACAACAAAAATCCAGAAAACGCATGTCAAAAATGTTATAAATTGATTTGCATTTTAATGAGGGAAATAAGTATTTGACCCCCTCTCAATCAGAAAGATTTCTGGCTCCCAGGTGTCTTTTATACAGGTAATGAGCTGAAATTAGTAGCACACTCTTAAAGGGAGTGCTCCTAATCTCAGTTTGTTACCTGTATAAAAGACAGCTGTCCACAGAAGCAATCAATCAATCAGATTCCAAACACTCCACCATGGCCAAGACCAAAGAGCTCTCCAAGGATGTCAGGGACAAGATTGTAGACCTACACAAGGCTGGAATGGGCAACAAGACCATCGCCAAGCAGCTTGGTGAGAAGGTGACAACAGTTGGTGCGATTATTCGCAAATGGAAGAAACACAAAATAACTGTCAATCTCCCTCAGCCTGGGGCTCCATGCAAGACCTCACCTCGTGGAGTTGCAATGATCATGAGAACGGTGAGGAATCAGCCCAGAACTACACAGGAGGATCTTGTCAATGATCTCAAGGCAGCTAGGACCATAGTCACCAAGAAAACAATTGGTAACACACTACGCCGTGAAGGACTGAAATCCTGCAGTGCCCGCAAGGTCCCCCTGCTCAAGAAAGCACATATACATGCCCGTCTGAAGTTTGCCAATGAACATCTGAATGATTCAGAGGACAACTGGGTGAAAGTGTTGTGGTCAAATGAGACCAAAATGGAGCTCTTTGGCATAATCTCAACTCGCCGTGTTTGGAGGAGGATGAATGCTGCCTATGACCCCAAGAACACCACCCCCACCATCAAATATGGAGGTGGAAACATTATGCTTTGGGGGTGTTTTTCTGCTAAAGGGACAGGATAACTTCACCGCATCAAAGGGACGATGGACGGGGCCATGTACCGTCAAATATTGGTTGAGAACCTCCTTCCCTCAGCCAGGGCATTGAAAATGGGTCGTGGGTGGGTATTCCAGCATGACAATGACCCAAAACACACGGCCAAGTCAACAAAGGAGTGGCTCAAGAAGAAGCACATTAAGGTCCTGGAGTGGCCTAGCCAGTCTCCAGACCTTAATCCCATAGAAAATCTGTGGAGGGAGCTGAAAGTTTGAGTTGCCAAACGTCAGCTTCGAAACCTTAATGACTTGGAGAAGATCTGCAAAGAGTAGTGGGACAAAATCCCTCCTGAGATGTGTGCAAACCTGGTGGCCAACTACAAGAAACGTCTGACCTCTGTGATTGCCAACAAGGGTTTTGCCACCAAGTACTAAGTCATGTTTTGCAGAGGGGTCAAATACTTATTTCCCTCATTAAAATGCAAATCAATTTTTTACATTTTTTACATGCGTTTTTCTGGGTTTTTCTGTTATTATTCTGTCTCTCACTGTTCAAATAAATCTACCATCAAAATTATAGACTGATCATTTCTTTGTCAGTGGGTAAACGTACAAAATCAGCAGGGGATCAAATACTTTTTTCCCTCACTGTATATACTGTTCACAAAAAAAAGGTTTGTGGGCTGTGACGTGATGCTGGAGCCTGCGGAGTTCGCCGTGTTCTGCTGTGCCTTCAATCACTGGGAGAACACAGAGACTGAGACCCACCGGCCAGGCAAGAACACACACACATTGGTACACAAGCATGGATGAACATATACACTCACCGGGTCATTTATTAGGTACACCATCCTGTTCACGAAAATTGATCGCTCCTACAGATAGTGAGTCACATGGCCATAGCTTGCTATATAAAGCAGGCAGACAGGCATCGAGGCATCCAGTTACTGTTCGATTGAACGTAAGAATGGGCAAAACGAGTGACCTACGCGACTTTCAGCATGGTATGATCATCGGTGACAGGCGCGCCGAATCCATTATCTCAGAAACAGCCGCCCTCCTGGGCTTTTCACACACGACAGTGTCTAGTGTTAACCGAGAAAAAACTAAAAACATCACGGATGGGCTATTGCAACAGACGACCACTCCTTTCAGATAAAAACAAGAAGAAGAGGCTCCAGTGGGCACGCAATCACCATGGGTGTACCCAATGAACTGTCCGGTGAGTGTATATACGCGTGCATGCCCACACACACAAGAAACACACATAAAAAAGCATTATGAAAGGTGTTATAACCACTTTGTGTCCCTGTAGAGTCCAGCCCTAGTCAGGAGCTCCCTGGTTATACCCTGGCTGTCCACAGCTCCAGACAGGTGATGGTGGAGCGGGTTCAGCCAAGACCATATTAGACGCCATTATTCTACTGACCGAGACCCAGGCGGAGAGACACGAGGTGAGACCTTACCTGCAGCAGAAATCAGGATTTATTTCAGTCCAGGTTACACCTGGGCATCTTTGGATGTTGGTGCCACTCAGATGCACACACATTTTAACATTCATGTTTACAGTCATTGTACATGTGCAAAAACACACATAAAATGTGATCATGTCATACAATATACTTTATAAAAATCAAACAAACCAATTTTTTTTTATATAGAAACAGGAACCCTGAAAGAGAAGAAGAGCACCTGTCTCATTATTGATGTCCCACTGTTGCTCCCTGCAGGGCCGGGAAGGCATGACATTTTACTACCTCACCCATGGGTCGGCGGGGATCATGGTGGGAGAGAACCGCCACCCCAGGTACCACCTCCACGTCTCATGACTATCGACAGCATCCCTCCCCTTTATAGGTACAGTACACATCAACAACCTCTAACACTAAAGCCTCATTTTTACCTTCCGTTTCAATCGAACGTCTGCTCCCGTCTGCACAGGATTCAGCCCCCACCTCAGTTTTCGTAGTCCGTGCGGACATGTGCAAACGGGAGCGGATATTCGATATTGTCACGATCGTCGTATTGAACAGACCAAGGCGCAGCGTGATGAACGAACATACTTTAATTAGTTAAAGTGTAAACACGATACAAAACAAGAAACGACTCGTGAAGTCCACGGTAACAATGACCGAACACGGAACAAGAACCCACAAACACAAAGGGAAAACAGACAGTTTAAATATGGCTCCCAATCAGAGACAACCAGCCAACAGCTGACACTCGTTGCCTCTGATTGGGAGTCACTCAGGCAAACATAGAATAAAACAAACTAGAACCCCCAACATAGACATATAACACATAGAATAAACACACCCTGGCTCAACAAATAGAGTCCCAGAGCCAGGGTGTGACAGTACCCCCCCCTAAAGGCGCGGACTGCGACCGCGCCTCAACTAAAGCAAAACAGGGGAGGGCTGGGCGGGCATACCTCCTCGGCGGCGGTTCTGGCTCCGGCCTTGCCCACCACCCTCCAATAAACCCCCCATAGCGCCCCTGGTCCAGTCTGGCCCCGCTGGCTGGAGCTGAACTGGACGTAGCAGGAGCGGTTAGCTTCAGCTCCGTAGTGGAGTAGTTGGCCGGTACCTTACCAGGCACCGGTGACCCAGGCACGGGTTGTGCTGGACTGACGACGCGCACCCCTGGCTTGGTGCGTGGAGGGGGAACGGGCCTTAACAGGCTGAAGACGCGCACCCCTGGCTTGGTGCGTGGAGGAGGAACGGGCCGGACCAGGCTGACGACTCGCACCCCTGGCTTGGTGCGAGTGGCAGGAACAGGCCGGGCCGGGCTGGCGACGCGCACCGTAGATTTGGTGCGAGTGGCAGGAACAGGCCGGGCCGGGCTGACGATGCGCACCCCTGGCTTGGTGCGTGGAGTAGGAACGGGCCGGACCAGGCTGACGACTCGCACCCCTGGCTTGGTGCGAGTGGCAGGAACAGGCCGGGCCGGGCTGGCGACGCGCACCGTAGACTTGGTGCGAGTGGCAGGAACAGGCCGGGCCGGGCTGGCGACGCACACCGTAGGCTTGGTGCGTGGAGCAGGGACAGGCCGGACCGGGCTGGCGACGCACACCGTAGGCTTGGTGCGTGGAGCAGGGACAGGCCGGGCTGGGCTGTCGACGCACACCGTAGGCTTGGTGCGTGGAGCAGGGACATGCCGGGCTGGGCTGTCGACGCACACCGTAGGCTTGGTGCGTGGAGCAGGGACAGGCCGAACCGGGCTGTGGAGACGGATAGGAGACCTGGAGTGAAGAGCGGCCACAACCCGTCCTGGCTGAATGCCTACCCTCACACACTCTGTGTGAGGAATCCGCACAGGACGTACAGGGCGGTGTATCCGTAACCTGGTGGCCGTCTGAATCCGCCCCTTTTCTGCCTCCGTCGGCCCCGTCGTCCATGCCGTGTGCCCCCCCCTAAAAATTCTGGGGTTGCCTCTCGCCTGTCAGACGTTGACCCGTTTGGCGCCTCCACCGTCTCTTCTCCCGGCGCTTCCTCCCATGTCCAGCCCAAGAGCTGCCCCTGGACACGCTGCTTGGTCGTTGCATGGTGGGTTCTTCTGTCACGATCGTCGTATTGAACAGACCAAGGCGCAGCGTGATGAACGAACATACTTTAATTAGTTAAAGTGTAAACACGATACAAAACAAGAAACGACTCGTGAAGTCCAAGGTAACAATGACCGAACACGGAACAAGAACCCACAAACACAAAGGGAAAACAGACAGTTTAAATATGGCTCCCAATCAGAGACAACCAGCCAACAGCTGACACTCGTTGCCTCTGATTGGGAGTCACTCAGGCAAACATAGAATAAAACAAACTAGAACCCCCAACATAGACATATAACACATAGAATAAACACACCCTGGCTCTGGGACTCTATATGTTGAGCCAGGGTGTGTTCATTCTATGTGTTATATTTCTATGTTGGGGGTTCTAGTTCTTCTGTTTCTTTGTTGGCCTGAGTGACTCCCAATCAGAGGCAACGAGTGTCAGCTGTGGCTGGTTGTCTCTGATTGGGAGCCATATTTAAACTGTCTGTTTTCCCTTGGTGTTTGTGGGTTTTTGTTCCAGTTGGTCATTGTTACCTAGGACGTTACGAGTCGTTTTGTATCGTGTGTGCACTTTAACTAATTAAAGTATGTTCGCTCAACACGCTGCGCCTTGGTCCTCCTCTATGTATGACGATCGTGACAGATATTGAATAATTTTGTTTGAGCGGACCTAGCAGACATCTTTGACCTATCTAGTGCCTTAAGTGCGATAAACGCGCTTTATAAAGAAAATTAATTCGTATTATTATATCCATCTCTCTTTCTCTCTATCTCAGACTGGTGTTGGTGGTTCTGTCTCCGTTGGATGGCAACTCTGGTTTCTCCATCACACACAGATTGGCCTACAGGAAGGCAGTCCACGCCTTGCTGGGTGACTGGACCCCTACCAAGGCCACTCACAGGCCCCCCGCTCACCCACCACACAGCAGGCCTCCATCGGCCCACTTTGACCAAGGACTCTACCTCCTACACCAGGGCTTTCCAATTATTTTCCTGGAGGTCCGAAACACTTCTGGTGTTCTTCCTTTCCTTTTAAAGTGTTTCGGTCCTCCAGGAAAATAATTGGAAAGCCCTGGTGTAGGAGGTAGAGTCCTTGGTCAAAGAGGTGCCATACACCATCATCACAGTTCGACTGCAGAGCAGTCCACCACGAGATTCCTCCAGTTGCTATAGTCACTAGCAAGGTATGCTATTTGATGTGGTTGATGCCACTTTTCTTTGTCCCTTATCAGGCCTTGTATGTATGTGAGGACCCCCACCAAGGCCAGCACAGGCCCCGGCTCATCCACCACACGGCAGGTTTCCATCGGCCTCGCCCGCTATGACCAGGGTGTCTACCCCCCCAGACCTGGGTTCAAATACTATTTGAAACCATTTCAAAGACTTGATCTCTGCTTGATTGAGCTTCTCTGGCTTTATGGACCAATTATTTATTTAGCGTAAGCTAAGTCCCTATCCCAAGTAGTTGATTCCGGTCAAGCTGTGTTGAGGATGAGTAGGCCTCCCCTGAGTTTGTGGATTGTGGCATGCTGTGCTCCTCCCCATAGGCACATAGGGTGCTTGCTCTTATGCCCCATTGGTGGAGGCTGGAAAGGCATGGGCCGTGACAGGTCCTGGACCTGTTGAGGCTGGACCACTCATTCCTGGGGTGGTTGAAACCAGGGGGCTGTTGTGTGGCAGTGTTCATGAAGTACTTATTTGCCAGGTCCAGTGACTCCAGGTGAGATTTGTGTTGAAGTCGTGAATGGGTGGGTCTTTCCCAATTGGCTTTCTTGCGGGGAGGCCAATATGGATCAATAGAATAGTCCCAAAACTGCAAACTCTGCCCATCTGGCACTCCAGTCAGACTAGAGCAAATACTCAAAGTATTTGAAAATTTAAAATAGAATTTGAACGCAGGTCTGCTACCCACTACACACCAGGGCAGTCGACCACAAGCTTCCTCCAGTAGCTACTGTCACTAGCAATGTATGCTATTGATGTGGTTGAAGCTACTTATCTTCGTCCCCTATCTGAGGTAGGATGTTTGGAGTGGCATATCGCTTTGCAAACATAGCTATACTACAGCAGTCGTTTTCTCAGATGTGCTCTTGGACCTCACCCCCACTCGGACTGTTTTTGCGTTAACAGGGATATCTGTATCCGAACAGTATTACTACAGCCTGGGTACTATTCTGTTTGTGCTAACATGCCACTCCTTGTCATGCTAAATGTTTGGCATGACAAGGAGTTGGAATGATAGCCCAAACAGATCTGGGACCAGGCTAGTATTACTAGGCTACAGTATTATTACTGTATTAGTGCAGAACTATTACTATTTCTAATGTTTTTGTAATGTATGCTGTACATTTAAGTACATGCTGAAATAATGACGTTTTTTTAAAAGTGAGTCTGTGCTGGATTCCTCAGGCTTTGAATGTGTCCCAAATGGCACCCTATTCCCTATGTAGTGCACTACTGTTGACCAAAAGTAGTGCACTATATATGGAATAGGGTGTGATTTGGGAGGCACACTCTTTTTAACCTTATATGAATACAAAAAGCCTTGTTCTCAAAACACCTCCAGTCTTTGCACTTTTAAGATATTGAAACCACCATGTGTGTTTTTGTTTTGTTATTGTAGTTTTATAAATCAAGGTTCCTTTGGACCAAATGACACATTTTTATTTATTCAGAGTATGTGTCTGTTCTTCTCCTCATTGATAAGATAATAAACTTTATTATAGAGTAACAGTCCTACTCAAAGCAATGCCGGTTTATATTGGGAAGAAACCATTCTGACCTTGTCCCGTCAACTCTAATTCAGTACAGCATCTATGGTGTCAACTCAAGAGAGCAGTCCTAAATTAACAGTTTACCAACCCTCTAATTTACAATGAACACCATAAACCAATCAGATTCTCCAATGCTGATTCTAATATAGGACCACACCCCAAATCAAAGGGAAATCGACAGTGTCTTCACGTCATCATCATTATAACAATCTGTGATCATGGTGATTCCAAGAGACAAACACAATGTTGGTTAGGGAAAAATCAAGTATGGCATTACAGGAGTGCTAAGCATAAAAACATCACAGTGGTTAAAAATCTTCTATCCACAGGAGGGTGTTGAAGGTTCAGGTTCGATACAACAGGGATCTTAGACAGTATACAGTTGAAGTCGGAAGTTTACATACACCTTAGCCAAATACATTTAAACTCAGTTTTTCACAATTCCTGACATTTAATCCTAGTAAAAATTCCCTGTCTTAGGTCAGTTAGGATCACCACTTTATTTTAAGAATGTGAAATGTCAGAATAATACTAGAGAGAATGATTTATTTCAGCTTTTATTTCTTTCATCACTTTCCCAGTGGGTCAGAAGTTTACATACACTCAATTAGTATTTGGTAGCATTGCCTTTAAATTGTTTAACTTGGGTCAAACGTTTCGGGTAGCCTTCCACAAGCTTCCCACAATAAGTTGGGTGAATTCTGGCCCATTCCTCCTGACAGAGCAGATGTAACTGAGTCAGGTTTGTCGGCCTCCTTGCTCACACACGCTTTTTCAGTTCTGCCCACAAATGTTCTATAGGATTGAGGTCAGGCCACTCCAATACCTTGACTTTGTTGTCCTTAAGCCATTTTGCCACAACTTTGGAAGTATGCTTGTGGTCATTGTCCATTTGGAAGACCCATTTGCGACCAAGCTTTAACTTCCTGACTGATGTCTTGAGATGTTGCTTCAATATATCCACATAATTTTCCTTCCTCATGATGCCATCTAATTTGTGAAGTGCACCAGTCCCTCCTGCAGCAAAGCACCCCCACAGCATGATGCTGCCAACCTGTGCTTCACGGTTGGGATGGTCTTCTTTGGCTTGCAAGCCTTCCCCTTTTTCCTCCAAACATAACGATGGTCATTATGGCCAAACAGTTCTATTTTTGTTTCATCAGACCAGAGGACATTTCTCCAAAAAGTACGATCTTTGTCCCCATGTGTAGTTGCAAACCATAGTCTGGCTTTTTTATGGCGGTTTTGGAGCAGTGGCTTCTTCCTTGCTGAGCAGCCTTTCAGGTTATGTCTCGTTTTACTGTGGATATAGATACTTTTGTACCTGTTTCCTCCAGCATCTTCACAAGGTCCTTTGCTGTTGTTCTGGGATTGATTTGTACTTTTCGCACCAAAGTAGGTTCATCTCTAGGAGACAGAACGCGTCACCTTCCTGTGTGGTATGACGGCTGCGTGGTCCCATGGTGTTTATACTTGTGTACTATTGTTTGTACAGATGAACGTGGAACCTTCAGGCGTTTGGAAATTGCTCCCAAGGATGAACCAGACTTGTGGAGGTCTACAATTTCTTTTCTGAGGTCAAGGCTGATTTCTTTTGATTTTTCCATGATGTCAAGCAAAGAGGGCACTGAGTTTGAAGGTAGGCCTTGAAATACATCCACAGGTACACCTCCAATTGACTCAAATGATCAGAAGCTTCTAAAGCCATGACATTTTCTGGAATTTTCCAAGCTGTTTAAAGGCACAGTCAACTTAGTGTATGTAAACTTCTGACCCACTGGAATTGTGATACAGTGAATTATAAGATAAATAATCTGTCTGTAAACAATTGTTGGAAAAAGTACTTGTGTCATGCACAAAGTAGATGTCCTAACCGACTTGCCAAAAGTATAGTTTGTTAACAAGAAATGTGTGGAGTGGTTGATAAACGACTTTTAATGACTCCAACCTAAGTGTATGTAAACTTCCGACTTTAGCTGTATGTGTATATCCTTTTTGTACGAATATACATATCCTGCCTTCTCACAAAAATGTGAAAGAGGCTCAAATATTTGCATTTGCGTTGCTCATAACAGTCACATTTTCAAATAAATGTATTCTTTATATTTTCTTATATTATGATTTGTATGATTCAATTGAGTGACAATTTTACTTCTGAATTGATAAATGATGATGGTTAGATTAGTTTCCTACTCTTTGGCAGAATGACGCCAAAGGAATAGGGTTGCAAACCTTCCCGAAATGTTCAGGTTTTCATGTAAAATGTAATAAAGTTATCACACGCAGTTGCATTCTGACTGTATATGAGATCGGGACAAAGGACACATAGCCCCAGGTACGAACAGGGCTAAAGACAGCGCAATACAGGTGGTTATGATCAAATGTCTGGCATATTGACAAATCTCAGTTAATCCTGCAAGACCGAGACTAATTTTGTTTGTTCCCACCTTGCAAATCTATGGATTAGCCTAGTATTATATACCATATCATGACATCATGACAAAAAGAGGGCTAAAATCATGTTTCTTAATTTAATTATGACAAATGCGGTAGTCCGGGCACGTGACATGCGTGCCCCTGTAATGGCTCTCATTTGGCTCATCAACGAAGGACATGGTGCTGTTCTCTTTCACTGTTTATTCTGCAAATACATACACATCACTGTGTAAACTTCAGAACAACTGCAACCCACCAAGCAATCTGAGTGCAATGAAATAACATAAAATAAATGTACACTTCACGAGGTGACTAGAAGGCGAACGTTAGCCACCTTTAGCATAACGCAACGTGCATTTAGTAAATGTCCATAAAATTGTAAATACATGACACAACTTTAACACTATCACATAACATGTCAACATCAATAGTGATTATAAAACAATATGGTTCTCAGCCTAACATACATTAGATATCCTTTTCAAAGTGAAAACACCTGGTGCAGCATGGATCACCCTACACACCTCCATCCAAGTTGAACAACTCTTTGACTGGATGCTGCGTGATCATGTGCACGTACATTATGTACACTGGGATGCAGTTACTCAAATAATACAGCAGGTGGCTCCACAACTATACATATACATAACCTGGCTGCTTAATTATGACAAAACTCATACAACTAAGGATGCCTATTTCAACCCTGTTACACCCGTTTGGTAATCCGGCCCTAGTAGGCGGGTGATTATAGCAGAGTGCAGAGTGGGAGTGGGCAGAAAAAATACTGGCTGTGTTATCAAGAAGTCACACCGTCAAAATCTGTGCGAATTATTGGAGACGCACACTGAACCATCAAAGGAAGACACTTGGACACGTAGAAGAGCGAAATCTGTCAAATTGAGAGGAACTGGCAGTATGTCTTTACGGATAGTTCTTTGTAGATTTAATAAACGATTTGAAGTCAAAACATATTGAAATCAATAGAAAATAAACACGAAAAGGAATTCGATTTTTCTGGAGTAAATATCATTACAGGTTTGTAGCCTAAATTACCTGGATTCTTCTGTCTGCTTTTGACGAGAAAGAGGAGCAGCGCGTATTCACATCTCCATCATCCCTGTCAGCAGGTAATAAACGGGAGTAGTAGAATAATAAATGACTGGAAACTGAGTTGTAAAGGTTATCTATCATTCCTGACCGTATTAATCATTAATTAGTAGGCCCCTAAAGTAATAACTAGGCTACTCCTCATTAGAATTAGGAACACAATTAAATACTTGATAAGATAATCATATTATTTAAATGGAATACTAGTGTTCTATGGAAGTTTGGTATTACTAGTATTCAGTTGATCAAATGGCTCATTGTTGATTAATCAATACCATTCAAATAGGTTGTTTATCATTTTTCTGTAGTTGAACTGCCTCAAATGGAGGCAGTTCAACAGGACAAATGTCTGTAGCAGATGCTTTGGTCTGGCTGTCAGTCACCCATCCTTTACACAGTTACATAGTTACTACAGCAATGCATTGGTTCTTTTTAAATATAGGCTCGCTAGCCCCCTGCTTGGCCAGATATTACATCTTGGATGTACAGTACACTCTTCCCACTGGGCACAGACATCAATTCAACCTCTATTTCACATTGGTTCAATGTAATTTCATTGAAATGACATGGAAACAACATTGATTCATTCAACCAGTGTGTGCCAAGTGGGTTGCTTTCTGTTTAAGGGTCTCTTCTCACAAAGATTAGACCTGTAGACACACAGTCCTTGATAAGCTGAGCAGTGATCACTTTCAGTTGTGTGGGATTTCTTGGTCAGGGGTAACTCTAATCAGTGGTATAATTATCCAGTAAACAGTTGTGTGGGTGGCACCTTCCATTACCTGGCTGGCGCCATGCGGTAGATGTAATAACTGTAAGGTCTGAAGCCATTTGGATCCTGCTTCACCCACTCTGTCATGTACCGGCTTATGTAAGACACACAGTGCTTCGTGTAATGTTGAATAGGTAGCACTAGGATTCAATATAACCTGTTGGAATCACTGAGAATATTCAGTATAACCTATAGGATGCAGTGACCAGGTTACTGCATGTAGCTAAGTGGTTACCATGCGATGGTTAAGTATCACGTTGACTACCTGCCATCCCCAGTACTTGACTGATTCAATCAATCATAATAAGGGATAAAGGGGGGCTCAGGCTTTAGCGGTACTGAATGTGTGTTTCTGATGTGTGTGTCCCCCCCAGAAGTGCCATGGTGGCCCCCACCACCAGCGTTCCTAAAGGCTGTGACCCCTCTGTGGGCTCCCTGTACTTCAACCTGTGTGATCTGACTGCAGTGTGGGGCATCGTGGTGGAGTCACTGGCGGCTGCAGGCGTGGTGACGGCCTTCATCCTCATCGTCATCCTCATAGCCAGCCTTCCCTTTGTGACAGACAGGAAGAGGAAAGGTATGGTGGCCCTGCAGGCCAGCTTTCTGGTCTTCACCCTGGGCCTCTTTGGCCTCACTTTTGCCTTTATCGTGGGCCGGGACTTCACCAGCTGCGCCGCGCGCCGCTTCCTGTTTGGTGTGCTGTTTGCTGGTGGTCTGGCCTGCCTCCTGATGCACGGGCTGTGGCTGGTGCTGCTGGACCGGCGGGGCCGAGGCCCGCAGGGCTGGATGCTGTGTCTGGGGGCCCTGGCCTTCTGGCTGGTCGAGATTATCATCAATACAGAGTGGCTGATCATCACGGTGGAGAGGAGGCCAATGACGGCCAGCGGCAGCCCTGACATCTCCTGCAGCATCACCAACCAGGACTTTGTGATGGCTCTGATCTATGTCATGGCCCTGCTGCTGGCTGTGGTGCTGATGGCCGTGCCCTCGCTCACACACAAACACAAGGCCTGGCGGCGGGACGGTGCCTTCATCCTGGCCACCGGGGTCTGCTCCATGGCCGTGTGGGTGGCCTGGATCGTCATGTACATCCATGGGAACCAGGTGGCCGGGGACCCCAGCTGGGACGACCCCACCCTGGCCATCGCCCTGGTCAGCAATGCCTGGGTGTTCCTGGTCCTCTACACCATCCCAGAGATCTGCTCCCTCACCAAGCAGGAGGACGGGGAGGAGCAGCCCAGCGACGGGGAACACATTATCTACCCGATCAGGAGCTTGGTCTATGATAACAATCTGAAGGAGCAGAACACTGCAGCAGCAGCAGCCCATCAGAACGTATACATGGAGAATAGGGCCTTCTCCATGGACGAACCCAACACAGGTACAGTAGGAACGCCCAATCAACCAACCAATCAATTAATCAATCAATCAATGTCTTTGTTGTCCCATTTGGGAAATTTGTAGTGAAGTCAGGGTAAAAACAACAACATGTACAAATGTTTTTAAAAAAGAGAGAAACGCCAGTGCCCTCATAGCATCCTTAATTAATTTTTTCCATCCACTAGAAATGTATTTCATGTAGGGTTTAATAATATGAATCTGTTCCATCTGATTTCCTGGAATATTTTCTGTTGCATCGGTATCCATGTTTATTTACCCAAGGGCGTAATCATTACCTAATAATACTATCTAATAGTCTCTGTCTCTCACGCTCTTATCTGATTAATTTTCCCGTATTTTAACATTCTTATAGAGAGACAAGTTACATAACAGGGGTCTACGCAGTAAGACAGTGTTATTAGGTATAGATTGGACACAGATCAACTCAAAGAGGACGAACAAATATGAATCTTGGCTAAATAGTTTTGCGCTCTTCTAAATTTAATATGTTCTGGTCCTAGCAATTATTTGCCCGTTCTCACCCCACGGTAATGTACAGTGAAGGAAAAAAGTATTTGATCCCCTGCTGATTTTGTACGTTTGCCCACTGACAAAGAAATGATCAGTCTATAATTTTAATGGTAGGTTTATTTGAACAGTGAGAGACATAATAACAACAAAAAAATCAAGAAAAACACATGTAAAAAATGTTATAAATTGATTTGCATTTTAATGAGGGAAATAAGTATTTGACCCCCTCTCAATCAGAAAGATTTCTGGCTCCCAGGTGTCTTTTGTACAGGTAATGAGCTGAGATTAGGAGCACACTCTTAAAGGGAGTGCTCCTAATCTCAACTTGTTACCTGTATAAAAGACACCTGTCCACAGAAGCAATCAATCAATCAGATTCCAAACTCTCCACCATGGCCAAGACCAAAGAGCTCTCCAAGGATGTCAGGGACAAGATTGTAGACCTACACAAGGCTGGAATGGGCTACAAGACCATCGCCAAGCAGCTTGGTGAGAAGGTGACAACAGTTGGTGCGATTATTCGCAAATGGAAGAAACACAAAAGACCTGTCAATCTCCCTCGGCCTGGGGCTCCATGCAAGATCTCACCTCGTGGAGTTGCAATGATCATGAGAACGGTGAGGAATCAGCCCAGAACTACACGGGAGGATATTGTCAATGATCTCAAGGCAGCTGGGACCATAGTCACCAAGAAAACAATTGGTAACACACTACGCCGTGAAGGACTGAAATCCTGCAGCGCCCGCAAGGTCCCCCTGCTCAAGAAAGCACATATACAGGCCCGTCTGAAGTTTGCCAATGAACATCTGAATGATTCAGAGGAGAACTGGGTGAAAGTGTTGTGGTCAGATGAGACCAAAATGGAGTTCTTTTTGACGCGACTGTAAATAAGCCGTAGTTGGCTAGCTAGCAAGCAAGGGAAAATAACGTTGCCAGCCAGTATGGCAATGGAACATTTAGAACAAACGACTGGGTCGCGTCCATAGATACAGAACAAAAAGACTGAACGACTGGGTCGCGTCTCTAGCAACCCTAGATTTGTGTCGGGACTATATCTTGTGGAAGGTTTGCTGTGCCAATATATCCTCCAAACACCAGCTTCTCTGGCATTATCACTTAAATATACACTCAGTGGCTAGTTTATTAGGTACACCCATCTAGTACCGGGTCAGGCGTGAAAAGCCCAGGAGGCCGCCCGTTTCTGAAATACTGGAACCGGAGCGCCTGACACCGACAATCATACTACGCTCAAAGTTGCTTAGGTCACTATTTTTACCCATTCTAACGTTCAATTGAACAGTAACTGAATGCCTCGATGCATGTCTGCCTGCTTTATATACCAAGCCACGGCAACATGACTATAGGAGTGAACCTTTTTCGTGAATCGGGTGGTGTACCTAATAGACTGGACACTGCGTGTATGTAAAACATTAAGAACACCTGCTCTTTCCATGACATAGACTGACCAGGTGAATCCATGTGAAAGCTTTTTAATCAGTGTAGATGTATGTCAAATCAAATCAAATCACATGTTATTGGTCACATACACATATTTAGCAGATGTTATTGCGGGTGTAGCGAAATGCTTGTGTTCCTAGCTGCAACAGTAAAAGTAAAATAAGTAAAATAATGGAATTAAGAAATATATAAATATTAGGACGAGCAATGTCAGTGTGTATGTTAACAGTATGTAAACATTATTAAAGTGACCAGTGTTCCATTATTAAAGTGATCAGTGATTCCATGTCCATGTACAGTGCAATCGGAAAGTATTCAGACCCCTTCCCTTTTTCCACATTTTGTTACGTTACATCCTTATTCTAATATGTATTAAATAATTGTTTTCTTCTCATCAATCTACACACAATACCCCATAATGACAAAGCGAAAACAGGTTTATTACAAATAAAAAACATACCTAAGTATTCAGACCCTTTGCTATGAGACTCGAAATTGAGCTCAGGTGCATCCTGTTTCCATTGATCAGGATTGTGTCGAAGCACAGATCTGGGGAAGGGTACCAAAACATTTCTGCAGCATTGAAGGTCCCCAAGAACACAGTGGCCTCCATCATTCTTAAATGGAAGAAGTTTGAAACCACCAAGACTCTTCCTAGAGCTGGCCGCCCGGCCAAACTGAGCAATCGGGGGAGAAGGGCCTTGGTCAGGGAGGTGACTAAGAACCCGATGGTCACTCTGACAGAGCTCCAGAGTCTCTCTGTGGAGATGGGAGAACCTTCCAGAAGGACAACCATCTCTGCAGCACTCCACCAATCAGGCCTTTATGGTAGAGTGGCCATACGGAAGCCACTCTTCAGTAAAAGGTACGACAGCCCGCTTGGAGTTTGCCAAAAGGCACCTAAAGGACTGTCAGACCATGAGAAACAAGATTCTCTGGTCTGATGAAACCCAGATTTAACACTTTGGCCTGAATGCAACGCATCATGTCTGGAGGAAACCTGGCACCATCCCTACGGTGAAGCATGGTGGTGGCATCATCATGCTGTGGGGATGTTTTTCAGCGGCAGGGACTGGGAGACTAGTCAGGATCGAGGGAAAGATGAACGGAGCAACGTACAGAGAGATCCTTGATGAAAACCTGCTCCAGAGTGCTCAGGACCTCAGACTGGGGCGAAGGTTCACCATCCAACAGGACAGTGACCCGAAGCACACAGCCAAGACAACACAGGAGTGGCTTCGGGGCAAGTCTCTGAATGACCTTGAGTGGCCCAGCCAGAGCCCGGACTTTAACCCAATCGAACATCTCTGGAGAGACCTGAAAATAGCTTTGCAGCGATGCTCCCCATCCAACCTGACAGACCTTGAGAGGATCTGCAGAGAAGAATGGGAGAAACTCCCCAAATACAGGTGTGCCAAGCTTGTAGCGTCATACCCAAGAAGACTCGAGGCTGTAATCGCTGCCAAAGGTGCTTCAACAAAGTACTGAGTAAAGGGTCTGAATACTTATGTAAATGTGATATTTCCGATTTTTTATAATAAATTTGCAAAAAATTATACAAACCAGTTTTTGCTTTGTCATTATGGGGTATTGATGATGGAGAAAAACGATGTAATCAATTTTAGAATAAGGCTGTAACGTAACAAAATGTTGAGAAAGCCAAGGGGTCTGAATACTTTCCGAATGCTCTGTACATAGGGCAGCAGCCTCTAAGGTGCCGGGTTGAGGAACCGGGTGGTAGCCGGCTAGTGACAGTGACTAAGTTCAGGGCAGGGTACTGGGTGGAGGCTGGCTATTGATGGCTATTTAACAGTCTGATGGCCTTGAGATAGAAGCTGTGTGCCATTCAGAGGGTGAATGGGCAAGACAAAATATTTAAGTGCCTTTGAACGGGGTATGGCAGTAGGTGCCAGGTGCACCGGTTTGTGACAAGAACTGCAGTGCTATTGTGTTTTTCATGCTCAACAGTTTCCTGTGTGTATCAAGAATGGTCCACCACCCAAAGGACATCCAGCTAACTTGACACAACTGTGGGAAGCATTGGAGTCAACATGAGCCAGCATCCCTGTGGAATGCTTTCAACTCAATATTAGGAAGGTGTTCCTAATGTTTGGTATACTCAGTGTATATCAGTAATAGACATGGAGTAGGAAAAGTGTGACCCTCAGTCGTCCCACGCCAGCTTAACCTGTTTGAGGATGCCATCTCCTGACTGACACATTAAACCGCCTGTGAAAAGGCTTCTGATGTAACACTCTGTTCTCTTTCCTGTTCACTTGCCCACTAAAACACACGGGAGAGCATGTCCCTTTCCACTGATCTCAGTCGTCTGACAACATAGGCCTGTGTCCCAAATTGCACCCTATTCCATACATAGTGCACTACTTTTGAACTGGGCCCTGGTCAAAAGAAGTACACTATGGCTGCGTTTACACAGGCAGCCCAATTCTGATATTTTTTTCACTAATTGGTCTTTTGACCAATCAGATCAACTGATGAAAAAACATTTGATGTGATTGGTCATTTTCTCTTCCCATTATTTATTTTGGTCTTTGCTGGGAATATGGGGCTAGTGTTGGTTGTATTTCAACGTATTTGCTCTAGAATTCTAAGTAACAGTGTGTAGGGACTAGAAATCTCCAAATTGTCTACTGGTTGGATCCTGTTTTGTACATGTCTACCTACTACATACATGTGTCTCTCTGGCCGGTAGGAGGGAATATCTATAACTGCATGAATACAGAACAGCCTAATTGGCTTTGTTTACTACTGTATGTCGACATGAAAGCTTTTAATAACATTTTATCACCTTTGACCTTTCCCCTCTACACACCTGGCCTGGGTGATCTCATACTGAGTGATCTAATACTGTACATTTGCCAACCTGGGCTAGAGAGGGAGGGAGTCCTTTTGTGATCTGAGCTGTACAGTATCAATTATACTCTTGAAATTCGATCGACTGTCCTGTTCGGCTGTGATTAAACACACACTTTTATGTTGCTGTTGCCCAGAGTGCGAATTACACCATGACATTCAGGGTGGTCTCTATATTGAGTGCATGCGCTTGCAATTTTTTTAATGGGCCTAATAATAAAGATGTCATTTAAATGGTAAAAATGTAATACCTTTTAATGTGGCATGAACACAACCAGTCATGATATTTTCATCTGATTGTCAAACAAATCTCTTCAAAAAGTAGGTAACCTGTGCACTCCAAAATAATTCCAGCATTCAAACTGCATGTATAGCCTACTCGCGCCATTTGATGAATGGAAATAGACATCTGTTACAAAACACCAAAAAGTGTGCCTAATGACTACCTTAATTGATGCGTCTTGCTGACAAATGTACCTTTTTTGTAGTCTGAAAAGTCGTGAAATTAGGCTGAAACTGTCCCGGGAAAAACGGGATGGTCACCCTAACACACGCAATCAACTTACTAGAAAAAAAACAACAACAATATATATATAAAATAAATGAAAAATAAAAACATACTCTAAATTATTTTTTTATTTTTTTTATTTCAAAGAAACTAAAAAATAAAAGACTATAAAAAAAATATATAAATAGAAAACAAACATTGTAAACTAGTTGTCCCACTGGCTATCATAAGGTGAATGCACCAATTTGTAAGTCACTCTGGATAAGAGCGTCTGCTAAATGACGTAAATGTAAATGTAAATGTAGATTAGGCTACAATGTGTATTACCATGAACTTCAAATAGGCCTACCGGTAAACCAGTGTGTAGTGGCAATATAATACATGAGTTGAATCAAAACATGATTTACACCCTAGTTCATGAGTTGTCCATAAGTCATTAGTTAATGCTTGGAGTCTTCACAGATCGTGTGACATAAAACACTTCCTTTCTCTCCTTATATTAATGACATTTATGACAGTGTTATTTGTAATTATTAAGCATTTAACAATTTAATTAGAACATTGAACTTAAACCCTGTATGAATAATGGATCTTGGAGATCTCGAAAAATGCACAGTAAGTGTAACTATGTCTATGTAACATTTCATTATGCTTCGCAGTGAAAACAGTTCTCATGGGCACACAAATCCCAAATAATGTAAATAATAAATAATATGCCATTTAGCAGACGCTTTTATCCAAAGCGACTTACAGTCATGTGTGCATAAATTTTTTGTGTATGGGTGGTCCCGGGGATCGAACCCACTACCTTGGCGTTACAAGCGCCGTGCTCTACCAGGCCTATGCCATTAGAATGCTTCTAACTGAAAGAGTCAACTATAGGCCTACTGTCATTAATGTATACTTGTTGGATGGATGCGCATTGGTGTCTAGCTGTTGGCTAGTTGTCTAGTAATATTGTTGACCATCATCAGCTGATCCAGCAAAGAAAACAAATATTGATAGAAAATAATTAAGCTAAATAAATGGTCTACTACTTCTGGCCACAGATGGCACGGAGAACACCAGTACCCGCGCGCACCTGAAAAACAACGCAATGAGTGCTCTAAACAGCTGACTGACAAAAGCAAACGATAAATCAACGGATAAATTGAATGCATTTGAATAAAGGCATGTGCTATTTTTATCAAGGACTCATGGCAAACAAATGGCGAAAATGAGGAAGTACAAAGGAAAAATCTATGTGTAAAGGAGCTCAGCTGAGGCCGAAATGTAGCACTACTGAGTGGACAGCATAGAAATAAATGGTTCAAACCATGACAGAGAGGTGGGGGTGTTTGTTTCATTGGAAGCTTTTATTTGAATATTTACCATTGTAAAAAAAAATTACCACTGCATTTTAAACAAATAGGTTGCTGTTGCCATAGAGACGGTGGCTCATGCATTCTCTTCAAATATGTGTCCGATAGTGCTGTATGTGACATATCCAAATGGATCATTATATTATCTGTGTCTGTGACATGTACTTACTGCAGGTAATAAAGTTGAAACTATAATTATTTGTAAGGAACTGGTAGTTTGTAACTTTGTAAGGGAACTGGTTAAAAATGTTTAAATCCCATTATTGTAAATCACAGTGTGTATTTGATCATTCAGGCCTCAGCCATCGAAAGCAATTGAAGCTCAGAGTTTTGAAGTTGTTAATTAATTTGTATTTCTTTCTTCCATTCCTCTCTCCTCACTCCTCTTCTGTCTAGCAGCCAACAAGCCTGTATCTCCATACGGTGGTTATAGCGGTCAGCTCCGCAGCTGTGTGTACCAGCCCACAGAACTAGCTCTAATCACCAAGAGCCTGGCAAATGTGAGTGGGTTTTACACGATACACAATACACAGACTTAAACCCTCATATCATTATCACACTACTGTTATTCTCCAAGAAATACGTACTGAAACCAACCGTTTTTCATTCTCTGTGTGTGCGTGTCCTCTCTACAGAGGGACCAGTCCCATGAGACAGGCCTCCCCAGGGCCACGGCCTCCCCTCTAAACCAGAGCAGCAGCTCCCTGCCTCACTCGCTAGCGCCCCTACCCACCACAGGATTGTCCCCAGCAGTCAGTGTAAGTACAGAGCAGACCTACCTGCCATCATACACAACAGGATACTGTGCATCCATGGTGTTTTTGCTCTCTTCTTTCCATTTTTAAACTACTGAGCCGAGCTGGGCTGTACTATGCTGGCCTGGTTATGCATCCACCATAGTTGCTGGAAAAGTCAACGTGAAAAGAACATATCCGAGCCTGCACAGGACAGTTTGGGTTGGCACGACAGTGTGAAAAGTATATAAGTGGAAGGTGGAGGATTTCAAATCTAATTCTTCTGCCTTGTCTTTCTCAGGGAAATGGTGTGCATAAGAAGCCTCTGTGGTGAATCTACGCTATGCTACTACGACCTGATTCCTGTTCGTCACCCTCCCTCTCTTCTACTCTGTGCCCCAGTTTCCCCTGCGGCCCCTGGGTGTGTCTGTCAGGGCTGGACCCTGAGAAGACCCAGAGCCTTTGACCACTGTAGAGGCCAGGCTGTTCTGTACATACAGTAGGGCTGGAGGGAGCCAGTGTCAGAGAGAGAGGCCACAGTCTTGGTGCTGTGCACCCAGAACAAGTGTGTCTCTCATCTCCCTGTGTCTCACCCAGTCCCAGTGTGTCCCAGTGGCAGTACTAGCCACCCTCCACCTACCCATCTCCCAAGCCAGCACTCCCCACCCCCGGGCCCCAACGCCATGCACTGATGGGAGATCCAACGAACACAGCAACGTACAGCCAGACTGAAGGGACAATGAGGCAGTTTCAAGAGGAATTTGTTGCACAGCCTTAAAAACCCATTACAGTCCAAGCCCTGTAAAAAATCTAAAGGAAGTTTGTAATGAAGTGTCTGTCCTATATACAGTGAGGGAAAAAAGTATTTGATCCCCTGCTGATTTTGTACGTTTGCCCACTGACAAAGACATGATCAGTCTATAATTTTAATGGTAGGTTTATTTGAACAGTGAGAGACAGAATAACAACAAAAAAATCGCATGTCAAAAAACGTTATAAATTGATTTGCATTTTAATGAGGGAAATAAGTATTTGACCCCTCTGCAAAACATGACTTAGTACTTGGTGGCAAAACCCTTGTTGGCAATCACAGAGGTCAGACGTTTCTTGTAGTTGGCCACCAGGTTTGCACACATCTCGGGAGGGATTTTGTCCCACTCCTCTTTGCAGATCTTCTCCAAGTCATTAAGGTTTCGAGCCTGACGTTTGGCAACTCGAACCTTCAGCTCCCTCCACAGATTTTCTATGGGATTAATGTCTGGAGACTGGCTAGGCCACTCCAGGACCTTAATGTGCTTCTTCTTGAGCCACTCCTTTGTTGCCTTGGCCGTGTGTTTTGGGTTATTGTCATGCTGGAATACCCATCCACGACCCATTTTCAATGCCCTGGCTGAGGGAAGGAGGTTCTCACCCAAGATTTGACGGTACATGGCCCCGTCCATCGTCCCTTTGATGCGGTGAAGTTGTCCTATCCCCTTAGCAGAAAAACACCCCCAAAGCATAATGTTTCCACCTCCATGTTTGACGGTGGGGATGGTGTTCTTGGGGTCATAGGCAGCATTCCTCCTCCTCCAAACACGGCGAGTTGAGTTGATGCCAAAGAGCTCGATTTTGGTCTCACTGACCACAACACTTTCACCCAGTTCTCCTCTGAATCATTCAGATGTTCATTGGCATACTTCAGACGGGCCTGTATATGTGCTTTCTTGAGCAGGGGGACCTTGCGGGCGCCACAGGATTTCAGTCCTTCACGGCGTAATGTGTTACCAATGTGTTCTTGGTGACTATGGTCCCAGCTGCCTTGGGATCATTGACAAGATCCTCCCGTGTAGTTCTGGGCTGATTCATCACCGTTCTCATGATCATTGCAACTCCACGATGTGAGATCTTGCATGGAGCCCCAGGCCGAGGGAGATTGACAGTTATTTTGTGTTTCATCCATTTGCGAATAATCGCACTAACTGTTGTCACCTTCTCACCAAGCTGCTTGGCGATGGTCTTGTAGCCCATTCAAGCCTTGTGTAGGTCTACAATCTTGTCCCTGACATCCTTGGAGAGCTCTTTGGTCTTGGCCATGGTGGAGAGTTTGGAATCTGATTGATTGATTGCTTCTGTGGACCGGTGTCTTTTATACAGGTAACACGCTGAGATTAGGAGCATTCCCTTTATGAGTGTGCTCCTAATCTCAGCTCGTTACCTGTATAAAAGACACCTGGGAGCCAGACATCTTTCTGATTGAGAGGGGGTCAAATACTTATTTCCTTCATTAAAATGCAAATCAATTTATAACATTTTTGACATGCGTTTTTATTGATTTTTTTGTTGTTATTCTGTCTTTCACTGTTCAAATAAACCTACCATTAAAATTATAGACTGATCATGTCTTGTCAGTGGGCAAACATACAAAATCAGCAGGCGATCAAATACTTTTTTCCCTCACTGTATGAGAAAGATTATTATTATTAAGTATTTTACCCCTTATTTTTGGCACTAAACAGTCTCCATGTATACTTCCATTCAATTTTTCAACTGGTACTGGGGGACCTTCAGACGAGTCCTGTGAAAGCCTCTAGCCGTCCTAGAGCAAATGTACGACTGACGTGTTCGGGAGAGTCTCACCTTTCCACAGAGGGGTTATATTAGTGTGTAGCCCAAACGTTTCGGACGCTACAGACAGAAATGGGCAGATCTGCCTCAGACAAGTCCCAAGACGCTTGTGGGGGTCGTAGAGCAAAACGGAGACCACCATCGTGTTCGTGAGTCTCATCTTTTATAATAGGTTTGTAGGCCAAACTCATCATAACACTCCCTAAATAGGGACTTGTTTGGGTGCTTCTGTGTTTATACTTTACTGTTCAGAAGTGTAATAACTAATAAATCTATCGGTTTAAATTATTAACCATATCAGCCATAATAGAAAATATTGCTAACTTGTCATTTTCTGTCAATTGAAACATTCAACATTAAATAAATAATTAAACCACACTACATGTACTGTTTGATATCATCCCTTGGTTACCTGGGAAGAGGCAGATACTGTAGATAGACAGTGTAGTAGGGAATATTGCAAGAGGAAGTGTCCTGAGGATGAAAATACTGTACACCTCTGTGAAGTTATTTACATACACGGCTCTGATAAGCCTCTTTGCCTGTGTTTGTGCATCATTGTTCCTGATTCACACCCAAGCACATGCATACTGCACACTACACACAGACACACTACACACCAGTGGCGGTCTGTGCCATTTAAGATGAGGGAGGATGATGATTTTTTTAAATGAGCATGGCCTTATTTCTATTACAGCAAATTGGATGACTGTCATTCATATTCCATTCATCCAGCTCAATATAACATCAATAGGGTTAGGTTACTACATGATACTCACATTTTCTCTATACCCATCATGAGGTTGCTACAACCTAGCCTATGAATGAATGTTTACAAAGTAGGTGCACAGGTGGAGAGAAATTTCCATAATCAAGGTGACAGTGGCACATTCAATACCACCTTGCACACTCTTGCCTGCATCTAGCTGATCTAGGGTGTAATCAGAAGTGGTGCATGGGTAAAATCCCCGGGGAAGCAAGTCCCCCCCCTCAAAAAGCCATATTACAACCGATGTGTTGTGATAATTGCATTGTTTGCTCTATAACCTGTAAATTCATATGCCTTGACACCGTGATATATAGGACTAAGACCGAGACAATAAAAAGACACAGTGGCAGAATAAATTCAACCACACATTTGTTTCATTACAAAACTGGAGAGCAACATCTGTCCGTTGAAGTCCACAAAACATATTGCATGTAACAAACAGTTACATGACCTATAGCATGGTCAAACAAGGTAATGTTTCAGACATTTTTAGACTACTAAACAACTATTGATTTAGAACCATGGAGTTACCGCAAGTCACAAAGAAAACAGGATCTGCCTCCACTATTCCAGCATCATTTCAACATAATCTAATCACCCCTGCTTAGTCTAATATAGTGACAACAAAAAAAAATGATTTAATCCAATCAACGTAAACAAAATATGTGGCTGTCCATGGTACTGATTTCTGTCTGTTTGTGTGTGTGTGTGTGCGCGTGCGTGCATGAGTGCAAGTAGAAAAAACATGTTGACTCACTCTACTTGTAGAGAAATGCCAATGACATCCTCCTCTTTCATGTTGCCTAAACTGTCTACGACTCATACAGTACACACTTTTAGTTTTTGTTGTCCTAGGCTACCTGGCTAAAATTCTTGCTCGCTAGCCTAACTTCCTTTCATGGGCAACGATACACCAGGCCAGCTAGTTAACATTAGCATACTACATCTAGCTACATGTTGAACCTCCATCCTCTCAGACCAGGGGCACAAAGTATGAATTAATATTTGGATCAGAATCGCCGCTATAATCATTGGCCAGTACAGAGAATTAAGTAAACCCACAAGTCCAATTAAGTAAAACCACAAGTCCAAATCCCTATCTCCATCGATGGTTAATTTAGGAAAGGGATGATTTTAGCTTACTAGCTAGCCACCGGAGGACAACAACACAACAAGATGCAACAATTCACGTTTTTTTCTGTCAATAATGACGTTTGGCCTGTGACGTGATTGGTCTGAAGCCAAATCCAAACTGGTTCCCCTTGACACTATTTTTTGGTGTGCCAGGACCATTCACAGCTGAGCTCACTGTTTAGCTCAATGCTGATTGGCTATTATTTGTTGTTGTTTTTTATCAAGGGAGGCCAAATGCTCTCTGGCTTCCCTTGCATTCAATGCTACGGGAAGCAACAATGTCATACTCTTTCTGAACAGACAGCATCAGCTAGATATGCTTCACATACTGAGACAGAGGGGCGCTGTTTCGTTCATGCAGATGCTTTCTCCGGTGAGATACATTCAGCCTCTTGCAAATTGAAGGAAATGTAAGAATCACAGATAATTTTTCTACAGAATCGGCGGAATTAATACACCCCTGATCACACGCAAACACAGTTCACTTTCATAGCAGCCACATACAAACAGCATGATCCCTTTGATCGTTGTATAATTCCTTATCGCATCGACGCGCTCTCCTCCGCTCACCTTTTCCCTTTGCTTGTGGACTTCAGTGCATAACACATCAGCTGTCTGTAACCAGGCGGAAAAAAAACACTAACCGCTACACACAGCCTATTACTAGAATGAACGCGTTAGTAAACCCGCTACAATCATGCAGTACATTGTACAGTCAGCAGCAAGCAGTTTAGTAGTTACGGCGGACCCCGGTGGGAAAAAATTAATAAAACCAAAAGCTTACCTTGACTTGTAAGAGTTCCCATGTTGGATAGCCATAGCCAGCTAGCTAACATAGCATCCCTCTCTGTATGATCTGAGTGTTTGAGTAGGCTAAACTAGCTAGCTGCATTCCTTAGCTAAGTAAGGGAAAGTGAAAAATAATACTATGAAATATAGCTAGCTCTCTCTCTCTTGCTTCTCCTTCATTTTTGAAGAAATTAATTTATTCAAAACTGTTAAACTATTGTCAACTACTCACTACATGTTATGCACTGCAGTGCTAGCTAGCTGTAGCTTATGCTTTCAGTACTAGATTCATTCTCTGATCTTTTGATTGGGTGAACAACATGTCAGTTCATGCTGCAAGAGCTCTGATAGGTTGGAAGTTGTCATAATTACTGTGTATGTCTATGGAAGAGAGTGAGAACCATGAGCCACCTAGGTTTTGTATTGAAGT